TGAGGATTTTTGTTTTCTTTACATTGAGATGTAATCCATACCGAAGGCTGTGCTCTTTGATCTTCATCAGTAAATGTTTTAAGTTCTCTTCACTTAAAAGTGATGCCATGTTCTTCTTCATATAATCCAGCTTCTTGGATTATTTGCTCAACATACAGATTGAAAAGGATGGTGAAAGAATACAACCGTGGCACATAGCTTTTCTAATTTTAAGCCATTTAGTTTCCTAATGAGCACAGTGAAGTGTTTTGGAAAGCTCATTCTCCACATTGTTGTCCGTAGCTTGTCCTGATCCCAGGAATTAGTGACCTGAAATGGAATGGTCTTGACCATTCTGAGCCTGATAATCATATGATTTGTTATTCTGAAAATGACTAATTGAAGAGAAATGGCATTGTGTTCATCATCCAAAAGAGCATTTCAAGATCTAACTTGAAGTATGATATTGTCTGTGATAGTATAATATGCGTACACCTCCAGGTAGTGATGATGAAATTGAAGAATTCTACCAACTTCTTCAGTCTGAAATTAATCAAACATGCAATCAAGATGTATTGGTAATTACTGGTGAGTGTGATGAAAGGTTGGAAACAGAAAAAGGATCAGTAGTTGGAAAATGTGGCCTTGGTGATAGAAATGATGCTGGAGATCGCATGATAGAATTTTGAAAGGTCAGTGATTAGTTCTTTGCAAATACCTTTTAAATGTAGAAGACAATTATACACATGGACCTTGCTAGATGGAATACACACAAATCAAATTGACTACATCTGTATAAAAAGATGGTGGAAAATCTCCATATGATCAGTCAAAACCAGGCCAGGAGCAGACTGGAACAGATCATCAATTGCTCATATTCTGAAGAAAATTAAAACAAGTTCATGACAGCCAAAATATGGCCTTGGACATTTTTTTTTTTTTTTTTTTTTTGCCTGTAAGTGCTGTTGAGTCGGTTCTGACTCATAGTAACCCTATATAGGATTTCCAAGGAGTAGCTGGTGAGTTTGAACCGCTGACCTTGTGGTTCATAGTCCAGTGCTTAGCGTCCAGTGCCACACAAGGAGTTCAACCTTGAACATATCGCACCTGAATTTAGAGATCATCTCAAGGATAGGTTTCACGCAGCACACTCTAATAGAGACTGCAGATCAGGAGAATTGTAGAATGGTATCAAGACTGTCATACACGAAGAGAAGCAAAGCTCATGTCAAAGATAGAAAACAAAGAAAAGACCAAATGGATGTCAGTAGAGAGTCTAAAACTTGCTCACCAGAGTAGAGATGCTAAAGCAAATGGAAGAAATGAGGAGGTAAAAGAGATGAACAGAAAATCCCAACCAGCAGCTCCACAAGATAGAATCACATATGATAATGAAACATTCAAAGAACTGTAGTTAGAAACCCAAAGGGGAAGAGCAATGCTCAGCATTTGTCAAGCTGGAAAAAGCTGAAGGGAAATTAAAGCCTCAGCTGCAACTATTGATTGATCCTAATGGAGTCCTGGTGTAGCGCTGAGGGTTAGTGGGCTTGACGGCATAGTTGGTTTGAATCACAAGGCCAGCAGTTCAAGCTCACCAGTCGCTCCTTGGAAACCCTGTATAGGGTCCCTATGGGTTGGAACTGACTCAAGGGCACTTAACAATATCAAGAGGGGCACATTATTGAATAATGCAGAAAGCATCCAAAGAAGATGGAAGGAATATGCAGAGTCACTATACCAAAAAGAAATGGCCAGGGATGCCAGGGATGGAGACAGAGACGATGACGTGGGGAGACGGAGCGGCTGGGGACTTTGGACCCGGAGAGGGAAAGGGCCTGTGTGCGGACGACCGGGGTGCAGGCTTGCGGGGTATACCTTTGGTCCCTTTGGTTGGTGGATGATGCATGGAGGGCATTGTAACCATGGCAAGGAAAGATATACAATGGGATCGATGTGAAGCTAATGTCCTCCCATGTATACTATCACATAATTCACAATAAAGCCTTTTTTAAAAAAAGAAAGAAAGAAATGGTCAAAGTTCACCCATATCAAGAGTTAATAAATAGATAATCAAGAGCCAGTGATACTGAAGAAAGACGTTCCACGATGCACTGAAGGAATTGTAAAGAACAAGGCTCTGGGGATTGATGGAATAAAATTTAAATATTTAAACTAACTAATGCAGCACTGTAGACACTCACTCATCTCTGCCAAGAAATTTGGAAGACAGCTGGCTACCTGGCCAACTGGTTGGAAGAGATTCCTATTTGTGCCCATTCCAAAGAGAGGTGACTCAATGGAATGTGGAAATCATTGGACAATATCATTAGTAATCACATGCAAGTAAAATTTTACTAAAGACAGTACAAAAACAGCTGCACCCATACACTGACCGAGAACTACCAGAGGTTCAGCTGGATTCTGAAGAGGATGTGGAACAAGGGATATCATTGAGGATGTCAGATGGATCCTGGCTGAAAGCAGAGAATACCTGTGCTTTATTGACTGTACATAGTCAATAAAGCACAGGTATTCTCTGCTTTTGATTGTGTGGACAGTGACAAGCTATGGACAACATTCATTGTGGAGAATGAATATTAAAGAACACTTAATTGTGCTCATGAGGAACCCGTACAAGAGGCAGTTGTTTGAACAGAACAAGGGAACATGGAATGGTTTAAAATAAGCGAAGGTGTGTGCCAGGGTTGTATTCTTTCACCATATTTACTAGAACACAACCCTCTCCTTTCCTTGATGCAATGCCACTGGCCGTCTCTCCTGCTCTGTTCTCTCTGTGACAGAGGGCATGTGTGGGTGGGTCTTTTCAGTGAGCTGGGAGCTGCTGTCCCCTGGGCGCTACACTCTGGGCGTCTTGTCCATCCTGCTGGTTTTGTTGAGGGAAGGTGCTCCTTCCCCTATGCTCTCTGCCCTGCTGCTGACTGGTGTTTCTGGTTTCAGGTGATTGTATTTTTGAAGAAAAAGGACGGCTTCATTAGCTTGGTGCTGCGGCACCTTGGCACCTCGGCCATGATGGATCTGCTGCTGCGCCTGGTCAGCTGTGTGGAGCCAGCCAGCCTCCGGCAGGAGGTGCTACATGTGAGTTGTGCATGGTGACCCTGTGTGGGACAGCTCCCTGCCCGCAGGCTCCCCAAGAGATGGAGTATGTCCTTGGGCGTGAGCAACAGGTGCCTGGCAGAAGACTCCAAGGCGAAGCACACCCACACCCAGCTCCCCTGGGAGGACGTGAGCTCGAGGCTGGACCTCTAGGCCAGCTTCCCTCCCTCCCCACCTTCCCCATCATCACCTATGGCCATATGCCTAAGTGTGTTGCTGGGAGGAGAGGCTCACCACGAAAAGACAGAGTCACGGAGTCCAGACCTGACCTGTCATCATTCCTGGAGCCTAGCAGATCCCCTCCCCACATATCAGCCCTGAAGTTGGGGGCTTAGGTTAATACCCAGGGCTCTGTGGACAGCCCCTGCAGAGCCTCTGATGACAGCGTGGTGAGTGGGGGTCGCGGGCACTAGCGGGAGCCATGCTGGCAGCCCCCAGCACTTCTCTGAGTGCCCACTCCATCTTAGGGCAGCACTTGGGTATGTGGAAGCTGACGGGTAGAGAACGGAGTGTGTGGGGTAGCAGGTCTGGCCAGCTGTTGGGTTGCATCACACACATGCCCTGGACTTGGGAAGGTGATTTTGCTCTTCCTGTCCTGGCTCAGCATCTTATGGGGTGGTGGTGGGGCTGTTGGGGGACTCAAGTCGCTTGTATCTGTGTGGGTTGACTGGGGGCACTGGGTCTCCAACTCTGACTCACTTGTGCATTCCCAAGACTTGCTAAAGACAGAACAACAGCGGTGCTCCTCCATTTCTAAGCATGAGTGTCACTGCAGAATTCATTACTGCCCACCTTTCTGATTTGGATAAATGCAGGCACTGCCCTCTGATGACCCAAGAGGATTCAGGACTGCCCAGGCTGCACTGTGGCAACAACACCCCCAAGTCTTAGTGGCTAATGGCAACCAAGACCCTTTCTCATGCACTGTCTTGGGTCCACAGGCCCACAGAGGTGTGCAGCGCCTCCCTCTGGAAGCCTCCTCCACCAGACAGTGCTGGGTGGGCTGTGAGCGGTTAGGACAGGGTCCTCCTACTGACTCAGAGAACACACACAACTCTGGTCAGCCCCACATGCAGCACCGCTTTCGTGGCTAATGGACCCGGCTGACAGGCTTTGATGCTGAGCAATCGACTCCCCACTGCTCCACCTGCAAGAAGGGGTTGGCTTGGTGGGGTCTTTTATGTCAGTGTAGCAGCAGGGGTGTATGCAGTGTGATTGCACAGCACCTGTGTCGGGCCAGCTTTGGGGGGACAGCAGTGATGGCCATCGTGCTGTACAGGGCACTTCCCAGTGATGGTAAGAAGAGCCTTCCTGCCTGATGGAGCATGCCCACTTCATTCTGGGAGGTCGCACTGTAGTGGATGTGCCCTGAATGGACAGGTGTTGAAGGAACACCAGCACAGGCCTGGCAGACAGTTGTCGTGAAGCGCCATTAAGTAGGGTCTGACTCATATTGAGTCTGCATAGAGTTCCCAGGGAGTAGCTTGCAGTTAACAGTCCAGCGTTTTCCCTACAACCTCACAACAGGTAGATTTTTCAGGCCAAGTAACCGAGACAATATGCAAACAAACTTGATGTTCTAATAAAGTTCTATTCACAGTAGAAGGCTTCTATCAGCGTTGTTCCACTGGCCTGGTTTGCCAGCCCTGCCGTAGTGTCCAAAAGGGGTGTTTGATCTCAGGATGACGCAGCCTTAGCACACACAGTGCTCAGGGCTGTGACCTTTTAGGACCAAACATCAGGTCCACCCCCTGGGCGTGGGTCAACTGTGAGCGGACGAAGCTTCACCTGTCTGCTCCTAGAACCTGTGGGGTTAGGGGAGAAGGGAGATCCCTTGTGAATGGTGGGATTGGTGATGGAGTCCACACTGACTCTGGGAAGGCGCTTTAGAAAGGAACAGCAGTGAAGAGGACCGCACGTCTGGAGAAGCTGCATGTTGAGAAGGGACAGGAGTGAAGCATGTGGAAGCTGGACCAGAGGTGGCCCATGGTGGTCTTTGTGGCCTCCTGTCTGAATGGTGAGGCTGGTGCTCCTAGAAGAAGATCTGAGAACTGTGGGTGTGTTCGAGGGCTGGACAGACTCAGCCACGTGCAGGCTTAGGAAAGACTGGTCGCAGGACGGGCTGGCGCTCTTCTTGGATTGACTGGAATCATGACAGCAGTGCTGAGGGCTTCTGGTTGCAACAGGGCACACTCAGGTCATGAGGGGTACAGGGGACCAGGCTCTGAGGCATTTTCTCAGTGTGAGCTGCTGCAGATGAGAGGGGCAGACCCCAACCAGGGTCCCCAGATTGGCGCCCCGAGTTAGCTTGTAGGAAACAAAAGGGCTTGGTAAGTCCACATTGTCTCCCATTCACCCCTCGTGGGGCTCCCTTTGCTGGGTAGTAATGGATTCGCTTTCATTAATCAGGATACAACTCTCATGTGCGTTTTTTATTAACCAGGAGATAATTGATCCAAAGGGAAGAGACTGGCATTGGTGGTACCCCCCCCCCCCCCCCGACACCCTGTGGTCGTGGACGGGTGGCCCTCTGAGGCTGGTTGTGCCGTGGGTCTGGGCACTGGTAGTTCTCGCTTTGGCCGCCTCCTGTCCACAACCTTCATCTAGAGTGTAAGGGCCTGTGGCTGGCCAAACCCCACCTGTGCAGCGTCCCTCCCTTGTGGAACCTGAACTAAGGGAAACTGCCAGGCTGAAGTGAGACACCGTGGGGTGCTGGGAGATACCTCCAGTTTTTGGGGGCCTGAGGGCTTATCCTGGAATGTCCGGCCCCAAGGACATTCTCCCAGTGAGCTCTGCCTGAGACAGAGTGGCAGAAGTCCGCTGTGGTGAAGGTGTTTTCCTTTTCAGTGGCTTAATGAAGAGAAGATGATTGAGAGGCTTGTGGGACTCATCCACCCAGGTCAGGAGGAGGAGGTGAGTACCGGCCATGGGCCCACTCGGTCATGCTTGCAAGCCAGGGCCAGCTCAGTAGGTCTCCCTGGTCAGATTAGACTTCTGGGGCACATTTTAAACTGAAACTGATACATGTGTGCTATGAAAACAGTTTCAGCAGGAATGTATCAGTTACCTGTGGCAGAGCCTTAGACTGCCTCTAACCGTAGCAGGTGGTTTTCTGTTGCCCATGACCAGGGAAGCTGGGCCCTTGACTGGCCTGTCCACAGCTATCCAGAGGCTAGCATGATGCCTCTAAAAATAGGTGTGCGTTGATGCTCGTGCCCTGGGTGTTCTTACCTTTGTGGACTTGAAGTTGTGCTCCCAGCAGCACTGGCCCCTGCACCTGGCACGTGCCTGGTGGGACGAGTGGTCAGGCGACCTCAGGTCCAGGAGTCCTCATGGCTGAGTCACACGGTGCTCCTCCCCTCCCCAGAGAGTCGTGTTTTCCAAGCTCCCACAGCTCCCACGGGAATGAGCAGGGATGGCCTTTTAGGGTTGGAACAGTAATCAGCAGTGTAGTCTTGTGTACAACACACCTCCGAGGTACAGCTCTGCCACCTGGGTGTCCAGTTGTCAATCCAAAAAAAGGTCATAAGAATACCCATCTCTGTCGAAGGAAAGGCAGCAACGGGCAGCTTTGAGACACTAGTTAGGAGGGATGGAGTGTTTCTCTAAGGACTGTTGGCAGTGGCCCTTCTGCCTCCACGTGCCCAGTGCCTGCAGAATCCTGGCACCCTATGGGTGCTGAAGGTTGGCTCCTTGTTCCTGCAGAGGCAGTCCAATGCATCTCAGACCCTCTGTGATATCGTCCGGTTGGGCAGAGACCAAAGTGGTCAGCTTCAGGAGATGGCGGAGCCTGATCCCCTCCTTGCGGTCCTGGAGTCGTGAGTGCCACCCGAGGAGGTGGGGCCTCTGTGGCATGGGGACCCTGGGCCTGCCATCACCCCACATAGCCCTTGCCAGCTTCCACTGTTGGCTGTGATTGAGGGAGGTCTCCAGGGAGCCCCGGCAGGCTTGAGGGCAGACCCGGGGAGAGCCCTGCAGTGGCCATGTGTGTCTGACAGGCGGGGCTGTGTGGAACAGCTGCTCAGGAACATGTTCGATGGAGCCCAGACTGAGAGCTGCTTGGTCCACGGTACCCAGGTGCTGCTGACCCTGCTGGAGCCCCGGCGCACAGGGTGAGTCTGAGCCAGGCTGCTGGGAACTGCATTCTCATTGTGAAAGAGGAGAACTTGACCGTTTAGGGCAAATCCCCTTTGGTCAGTCTGGTAATCCCTCCCTAGTGGCCACTGCTCTTGTCAGTTGGCAAATGTGTTCTTGTACCTGTGAAAGCACTGCAGTAGGATGTGTGCAGGGTGAGTTGGGGACCCCTGGGTGATGCCAGGGAGGCCCCCATGCTGGGCTGTGACCCAGCCAGGACACAGCAGGTGGTTAAGCTTGGGAAAAGAAATGCACCTCACCTTTGGGTGTGTGTAAGTTTGAGACCCCATAGGGTTGTTTGAAAGTGTTGATTTGAAACAAGTGGGGGAGCCAGGCTGGCTCGTGGTGTTGCAGGTGGCCAGAGATGAGGCCATCCAGGGGAGCAGAGGAGGCGATGCTGTGAGAGCAGAGATGGGAGACAGGTGGCGTGGAGGGACTGGGGAAGGAGAAGCCTTCAAGCGAGGCTGGACTCCAGAGAGTGTTTCCTGGACAAGGGGGTGGGCAACAGCACCCTCCCAGAACTGCCCCACTGTGCTCTAGGCCCCAGCATTGACCTTGAGTGCTTTTAAAAGGGAACCAAGAGGAGCGCGGAGAAGTGGCTTCACTTCCGGGTAGTCAGCGTGTTCACAGTCTCCTGCTCTCCGGGTCTGGCATCAGATGCATTTGTTGGTTTATTATCGAAAAGCAGAAACATGAAGCTCTAGTTCTTTACACTAATGTGGTTCTTGTCCACTCCTCACCCTAGGAGTATGGCTGGCCCCAGGGGTTCGGGGTGGCCGGGAGGTGTGTGACAATGAGGAAGGAGCGGCCGGTTAGCCGGTTTCTTCCTGTGTGCCATCGGGTCCCTTCTCCTGGGCCATGTGTCTTTATCCTTGGAAGTCAAGCTCTCAGTCTGAAAAGGCCCCCGTGTCCCACCTGCTGCCCCGAGTCTCTCCCCGTCTCTCCTGAAGTTCAGGGCTCTCTAGTAGTGTTGCTCCCCTCCGGGCCTCTGGCCAGCTACCAGGTGACATCCATCGGCCATGCCTCCACAGGACAGAGGGCGGCTCACTGGACTCCTTCTCTCAGGGCCTTGAGCGGCCAGCCAGCGTCAGCAGTGGGGTACTGCAGGGCCTGGAGCCGAGGCTCAGGGATTTCCACTGCCTACTTCTCAGCCCACCCAAGGTGAGCACTCCGGCCATGTGTGTATGAGGCACTGAGGGGGCTGCCCTTCCCCCATCACCCAGGGCTGGGACCTGTGTAGCTCCCGAATGCCTCCTTGCCTGCTGGAACTGGGGTTGGGTGCATGTAATTGTGCTGAGGGGGTAACTTCAGAGCAGCCGCACCCCAGACCTCAGCGTTCCCTGAGATGTCACTCAGGGTGGCCACCACCCACCAGCCTGTGTCCTCCGGTGTGTCTCCTCAGTGCCCCAGGACTGGACTCACTGGCTCCTCTCTCAGTGCACTTGTTGGTTTCCTGTGAGAAAGCGAGTCTCCCAAAGGCAGGGCACCCCCAAGATGAGGAAGGAGAGACGGGTGACGAGGGGTGTGGTGGTGGCAGGGCCGACAGGGCCAGCAGGGCCTCAGCTTTGATGAGCCATGTTCCTGGGCAGAAGCCCCCAGAGAACCCCACATCTGCCCTCTGCCTCATGGGGTCTCCCACCCTCGAACAGGCCCACCTCACTTGCGGTGTTGGCTGGGGCAGCTGGGTGTGAGGGAGGCTGATAGTGGGCGCCCCCCTGTGCTGTAGAAAAGCGCCATCCTGACCACCATCGGTGTGTTGGAGGAGCCGCTGGGAAACGCACGTCTGCATGGCGCCCGCCTCGTGGCCGCCCTGCTGCACACAAACACACCCAGTGTCAACCAGGAGCTCTGTCGCCTCAACACCATGGACCTGCTGCTGGTGAGTGTCCACTTGGAGGCCTGAGGGCTCCCTCCTCCTGTGGCGTGGCAGGGCCAGGGCAGAGCGGCACCCTGGCCCTCCCAGGGACGGAGGAGGGCCTCAGCCCCAAGTAGAGAAGGTGGGGGACCGTAGGCTGTTAGGTTGGCGTGGGTACAGATGGGTGCACCTCCATCCTGATGTTTGAATCTGATGACTTGTCCAGGTGGCCATTTCTGGCCTGTTGGGACAGAGCTGCCAGCAGATCTGGGTTGGCCACTGCAGAAGACTCCCACTACCTGGGGGACTCTGATGTCAGGGAGAGACACGGGAGGCGTGGCTCCATGGGTGCTCTGCGTTACTGTCCTGTTTCCACAAGACCATGGAAAGTAGACCAGTATGGGCACAAGCTTGAGTCCGTGTGGCCAGCCTGGACCAACAGAGATGGGCTGGGGGTCCTTCCTTGGTGCCCACCATCACTAGGCCTCTTGAGGCCCTGCACCTCGACCCTACACACACACACTGAGTGCTGAACCGTGTGTGGCTGGGCTATGTGGACCTGGGCGCCTCCACTTGGTGAAGCCCAAGAACCTATACCTCCTAGTGTCCTTTCGAGGGGAGACGTGTGGGAGGGACTGCAGGGCACTGACCAGCGAGGGTGATGTGGTCAGTGATGTGGGAGGGTAAACCAGAAGCTCACGGAGGAGGGTGTCTGCTGGGAAGCAGAGAATGCGCACAGTGGAGGAGAACCCTGAGGGCTCTTAACCAATGCCCTTCACCACCTCCTCACCTCCACCTCCTCACCTGCTCTCACAGTCCAGGGCTCTGAGCGGAGACCCGGCCTCCACATGCTGTGCCCCGTGTCCTGCGTCCTCATGGTTCATGTCCCCAATCCTTTACCCTCACCCGCTCCCTGCCTCCATGTTCCGTCGTTCCTGTACCCCAGCCTCACTCCACACTCCCACACCTCCATGGTCCCCTGGGTCCCAGTGCTTAGGCACCGCTGTCCTGGAGGGTTCCACACGTGAAGGAGTATGAGGCAGGGGCTTGGCCCACTGTGGTCAGGTGATGCCAGGAGTGATGAAGGCCTGCGTCAGGAGTGCTGGGGGTTTCATGCCCCACACGGGGGTAGGGTGGGGGTGGGGAGGGGGGGTGCACGCTTAGTGAAGTATCTGCTGTGCTCACAAATGGGAGCTGAGGTATACCGTGTTTGTGTAGAGGTGACAGGGGATGGAGAGCTGGGATGGACTTGGGCCCATCTGCAGTCCCCGCTTCTGTGTGTCAGACCAGACACACAGGCTGTGTGGGTGGGAGCGATGAGGTCAGCAAGTCCTTGTCCCTGGCTCCCAGCCAGCTCAGAGGGTTAGAGACTTGGAGGCTGCTGTGTGGCTGTATGCATCCTTGTCACTCACCCAGTGTCCAACTCCACTGCATGGGCCACACTGATCACCCTCCTGGCCTCTGTCCCTAGGACCTGTTTTTTAAGTACGCCTGGAATAACTTCCTGCACTTCCAAGTGGAGTTATGCATTGCAGCCATTCTCTCCCATGCTGCCCGGGAGGAGGGGGCAGAGCCGGCACCCAGGAACGAGACCCCCGAGGACACACTGGTGACCCATGTGCGTGTACTTCCGCCCCTCAGCAGAGACTCCCTTGGGCTGTGTGAAGAGGGTGACAGGGACATGGGTGTGTGTCCTCCCTGGATACGCCAGTTGCTCTCTGACCCTCACATGAGAGGACACCAAATGGTAAAAGGCAGGATCAGGGCCTGCCTGGGTCCTGGCCTGGTAAGGACAGGGTGGACCTGGACACACCACATGGTCAGTGCTGGCTGAGCTGGAGCCTCTAGAGGGGTCATTGTGAAAAAGCTCCCTGAGACTTCAAAGTGATGTCTGTTGGAACGAGACACAGTCTTCCTTCCCCTGGACCTCCCTTCCCACCCTCCTGCATACAGGCACCCAAGTGAAGGGACCTTGCAGGGAGGAGGGATGTTCGGATGTTTAGGCTCTGGGAGTGACTGAGAGTTTCAGTCAGGGTCTGCCTTCAGACTGCTCTGCAGCGCTGCAAGGAGGGTACAGGGAGGCCGAGGGTCTGGGGACCTGTAGGAACTGCAAGCAGGGAGCTCCAGCAGCCGTGCTATCCTTGGGCGCCCTGTCCTGATGCCATCTGTGCCCCCAGCTGTTCCAGAAATGCTGCCTGGTCCAGAGGATTCTAGAGGCCTGGGAGGCCAACGACCACACCCAGTGAGTGCCGCCAGTAGAGAAGCTGGGAGGCCAGTGTGTGGGCAGGCCCAGGCGAGACCCGGGATTCAGTGGGGGGCGGCGGGTCAGCTGAGAGGGGTGAGACTGAGAAGTCAGGCTCCAGTCTTAGGACAGACATCCTCATTCTCATCCTTTCTGTCCACTTGTCTGGAGGCCCCAGCCATCTATTTCCTAGTCTCCTCGTCCCACCCAGTCTCTCAGTGGTCCCACCTTGGCTCTCACTGCCAGAGGCTCACTTACCCCCCTTTCCTGCCCCCACCCCATTCTGTGCTGCTTCCAAGGAGAGCGTGGGAAAGCGAGTTCTTGAGCTCCCACCTGCTACTTGAAAATGTAACCTGAGTCTTCCCCAAGGTCTCAGGGCCTTTAAGTCCCACCCTTTCTCCCTGACTCTTAGGTGCCCTGTCCTCTCCCTGCACGGGTCCATTCTCCAGGGACTCGGGAGCACTGGCCACCGTGCAGGGAGGGGCTTGAATCGAACATCTCGTGGTCTCTAGCTGACTTGGTGTTCTGTCCCTAGTATCCATTGTCCCCCGCTGATTTCTCAGCTTGCCAGGAACAAAGCCAAATTTGCACAGTTTGTGGGCAGTGAGGGAGGGAGAGAGGTCAGGAGCCGCCCTGTACACACTTGTGGCGGCCAGATTTGAGTAAAGTCCCAGCATGCAGCAGGTCTGCTACCCAAGTGGGCCCTGGGGGAGGCTGACAGGGTCTGGAAGTCAGGAATGAGCTGCTTTGGGGATGAATCTGCTGGTGGTCTCAGGCGAGTTGGGGGCACTGCAGTGAAGGCCCGTGTCCCTTGTGGAGGAAAATGACTATAGAGATCGCACGGGCAGGACTGACTCGGGAGGATAGTGGGAAAGCTGGGCTCCCTCTCCTGGCGGGGGGAGGTGGGGAGTGTCAGGGCCAGAACTGGGGACCAGTACTCACCATGCTGACAGTGGTCGGGTGGCTTTCAGGGCAGCCGGAGGCATGCGGCGTGGAAACATGGGCCACCTCACCCGGATTGCCAATGCAGTGGTCCAGAACCTGGAGCGAGGCCCCGTGCAGACTCACATCAGCGAGGTCATCCGAGGTGAGAGCCCCGGTCACACTCCCTGCGTCCAGTTAGGCCATGGGTGTACTTGGGCGGGGCCTGGCACCACCAGGCCCGAGCCTCCTCTTAGCTGGCAGGAGAGGGGCTGCCCTTTGGTCGGTTGCCACAGGTTTGTGTCCCTGCAGCAGTGCCCTCGAGTTGGGTCCTCCTTCCTAGGCTGGCGCTTGGACAGGCCGAGGAGCCTTAGTCCAGGGGCCTGAGCAATATCAGTTCTGCAGGACTCCCCGAGGACTGCCGAGGGCGCTGGGAGAGCTTCGTGGAGGAGACGCTAACCGAGACCAACCGCAGGAACACTGCAGACCTGGTAAGCATGCTCAGGCGAGTGCAGCCTCCCTCAGTCCATGCCCCCCAACATCAGGCCCCCGGGTGGTCTGCCCGGGTCCCCGCTGCCCTCCCGCCCTGACTGTTCCAGGTGAGCACACACCACCTGCACTCCTCCAGCGAGGACGAGGACATCGACAGCGCCTTCCCCAATGAGCTGTCCCTGCAGCAGGTGGGTGAGGGCTCCTGTGTCCTAGGGGCATCTTGAGGCCCAGCCTGCTGCTGGGGCCCACGATCCTGACAGGCATTCGTCCCTCAGGCCTTCTCTGAGTACCAGCTCCAGCAGATGACGGCCAACTTTGCGGACCAGTTTGGTTTCAATGACGAGGAGTTTGCAGACCAGGACGACAATATCAAGTGAGTGGGTTCCCAGAGGACTGTCCCCTGCACAGGGCACCACACTCCGTCCAGCTCGTCCCTGGTGGTCAGAGCAACTTCTCCACTCCATTCTTCATCACTACTTGCTCTGTACATGAAGTCTGAGGAGAGGCGGAGGGCAGGTGTCGGCACAATGCCACAGCCAAGTCCGCGCTCCTGGACTTAGAACCTTGATTTGACCACCTCCATATGGAGGCCGACCCCGAGTCCCTGGCTGCTGGGCACACTGGTGGAAGAGGGGACAGGTGCAAGGACATCTCTGTCCCCGCAGTGCACCGTTCGACAGGGTTGCGGAGATCAGCTTCAGCACCAACGCAGATGACGACAGTGTGAGTGGGGAACAGAATAGTCTGGGTGGGGGAGGCTGACTGCAGAGAATGACCAGAGGCTTGTGGGAGCTGGTGGCCTGCTGCCAACACCCCATCTGTCCCTCTGACCCCCAGTCCCAAAGTCACCTGGCACCTCTCTCGCAGCCACATGCAGCACTATTTGAGGCCTGCTGCAATGACCGCATCCAGCCCTTCGATGATGAGGACGATGACATCTGGGAGGATGGCGAGCTGAGCCAGTCGGCCCAGGTGACAGCCAGAGCCAGGTGTGCCTGCCAATCCTCTCAGCCACTGTGGGCGAAGAAGGAGGGGTCAGCGTCCCCTTATAGAGGGACGGGCCTGGAGCAGCCAGGGGACTTCCCTCGTCTGCCTTGGCCCCAGGCAGACAAGTGGGGGCGAAGGGAGGCTCAGGGTGGGCGTCATGGGGCGTGTGATCACCGAACCCTCAGGTTTGGAGCTCCCCATGCTGCAGAGAGCAGCCCAGAGCCCGGCGGCCACAACGCAGACGTGGACACTCCCCGGGGGGGCAGTCGGAGCCCCAGCCCACCTTCTCCTGTGCAGAAGGAAGTCCCTGGCACAGAGGGTGATACAGAAGGTGGGTGCAGGGATGGGGGTGGGCAGTGCCACAGGTGGAGGGGAGATGGGTCCCTTGCCAGGTTCCCATGTCTGGTGGGTGACCTTTCACACAAACATGCTGGGGTTCACTTCACCCGTGGTTACGGCCCTTCATGTGCACACCTGACTGAGACTCTCTGGGGGTGTCTGGATTGATCAGGAAACATGAGTCCCAGGGGGCCACTCTGCTGAGCTCTGGTGGGTTACAGGGCTACTCTTCAAGCTCAGGAGTGATGTGGACAGCGTCTTTGCAGCCCCAAGTCCTAGACCACACTGTGCTCCCCCTGCAGGTGCCCGCTGGACTGCAGTGTTTGATGAGCCTGTGAGTGCGGCGCCGCAGGCCCCAGGGGCGGCTGTGGACATCGGCTCCAGTGTCTGGACGGTCCCCTCACCCGCGGCCTCAGCACCAGAGGAGAAGGGCTGGGCCAAGTTCACCGATTTCCAGCCTTTCTGCTGGTAACACAACCACATGCACTGGGTTGTCTCCCAGGGTGGCCTCCTGGGGTGGGCTGTGCACAAAGCTGAGCTTAGACCCGACCCTCTTCCCGCAGCTCCGAGTCAGGCCCCCGGTGTAGCTCCCCTGTGGACACAGACAGTGGTGACCACGTTCAGTCCAGCCCAGCCCAGGGCGTAGAGAAACCCGGTAAGTCACAGTGGATCTGGAGGGGAGGGGCGGGCCACATATACAGACCACACCTCTTTGTCCTGGACCTGTTCTAGGCAGTAATTTTGGGGTTCAGGTACACACCTTTGACCCAAATGTGTGAGGAGGCATCTTTGTCTAGACGACTTTGCACACTCCTGTGTGTTGTAGATACAGCGGCAGGTCATCTGCATGCTGGCCTCTCTCTTCCAGCTGCCCCGGAACCCCCTAGGGCCTGGAACACAGGTGTCCTCAGGACGATGCCCCTGGGGGTCTCCAATGGCAGCTCCGCCAGCACCTCAGACCAAGCAGATGTCAAGCAGAGGGTAGGCGGTGTCCAGGACTGTGTTGGCTCGGGCTTCAGCCAGGAGACCCCCTTACAGGCCTCAGCAACCATCACTCCAAGGTCAATGGAAAGTCGAGTTGGTCATGGCATACAAGGGCCCCTGGGATGGGAAGGAAACTGGCAGCTTCTCCAGGGGGGTCTTCGGCCCCTGGCTGCCCTGGGCTAGGGCGGGGGAAGCACAGCTTGTGAATCACTGTTCAGTGGGGCCTGGGCATGCCCACCTGTGGCCTGTTTCTATGGGAGTGTGAGTGCTGACTGACTCCCAGGAGCAAGCCTGCCTCAAGTCAGCTGCTGAAAACAAGTCAAACCTCTGGCAGTGGGGAGTGGTGGTCGGCTCAGATGTCCTGACCTGGGAATTGGTTCTCTGGGGAGGAGATGGATGCGTAGGGCCAGCTGGGGGCTTCAGACAGTGCCATGGGGACAGAGCACACTCAGGCCTTCTGTCCTCAGGCATGCGGGGGGTCTGCACACAGGGCCGAGCACACACCCAGTGCAGCGCCGGAGCCTGCAGCCCAGAGCCCCATCAGTAGCTCTCCCGGAACTGTAGACATGGCCCCTGTCCTCGCTGAAACCAGAGCCCCTGGAGCCCCTGCCGCTGCCACCACCGCACTGAGCAAGGCTCCAACCTCTCCTACTGCATTGGCTGCGCAGTCTCCCCCAGGGCCCATCATGGCCCTCACCACAGTGGCCCCCTTGGGGACAAAGGACAGGTGAGTAGACAGGTGCAAAGGGGGGCTCCTGTGAAGGCTCCCGAGGCTCCCAGGATCAAGCAGCTGAGGGGGGCCCCTACCCTGCCACTCTTCCCACAGGAAGACTGAGGCCCCCCCGCCGGGAGGAGCCACCTCAAATGGCCCTCTGTGAGGCTGCTGCCGCCGCCGTGCCCAGCGCCGCCCACCAAGAAACCACCTGGTGACGCAACTTGTCGTTTTTAATTTAATTTAATTTAATGTTGAAATAAATGCTGCATTGGTAGAGCTGGCAGTGGGAGCCATCGAATGCCCAGCTTGTGTCCCTCCTGCTGTGGCCAGCTGTGTTGTAGCAGTGGCCCCATTGGGGGGACAAGCTGCCCCCGCCCACACAGCAATAAAGCCCACTGCCTGGCTCTGCCTGTGGGACCGGGTTGGGCCCCACGGAGCGCAAGGAGCTGCCTAGCAGGGCCATCCGTGCCGAGGCCAGGACTCATGGACATGGTAGCCGGGGCTGCCCAGGGCTGTTTTTACCGTTTTTTAGCGAATGCAGGAAGACCACGTTTTTTGCACTTTGTTGTCCCCGTGCAGCAGGTGACGGGGGCTCCTCACTCAGCATCCTCTCCCTACCCCCTGCCTGGGGGTGAAGGGCATGTGTCTGTGATGGGGAGAACCCCCCCCACAAAATGCACCAGGACATGGGCTTGTGATTCCGGGCTGTGGGATTTGACTGCCTTAACCTCCCCCCCACCCCACCCCCCTCAGCCTGGTGGAAGGGCCAAGCCGGCAGGGTGCACGACAGGACCAGGTGGTGGGATGAGGCCATTGGGCCGGGCAGGGGCTCGTGTTCCCCTCTCACCTTGTGGTCACTGACAGGCCTTCAGCCCCCACTCCAATAAAACAGCTGTGTCCTTCTTACTGCGCTGCCCCGTTTACTGGGGGGGTGGGGTTCAAGTCATCATCTCTAGCACCTTTCTACTCCCTCCCAGAAAGTCACACCCCATCTTCCTCCAGCCACAGGACAGACCCAGCCAGTGCCACCCTGACACCCTGGCCTCAGGTGCTGGGGGTGGTTGGTGTTGAGTTACTCCACTTTGCCAATCACAGTGCCCAGGGAGGTAGGTCAGGGCTGAGGGTCCCATGGTCATCCCCCACAAGTGTTCCAATGCCAGCTTGTCAACTCCCAGGGCACTTGGGGAGAGGGGACTATTCGAGGTTCCCATAGGTCCAGTGTGTAAGGTGGGTGAGGAGCACAGTCAGGAAAAGGGCCTTGGATCCTGGGGTCGTGACTCCATTGAGCTGGTGCCAGCATACCCGAGAGCCCTGTATAGAGGTTGGAGCTCCATGATGCACAGGGAGCTGAGCAGATGGTGGAGGGACCCACGCGGCTCCTGAGCCCACTATTTCAATTGTTCAGGCCCTCAGCCCACCCCCACGTTATAATTCCCTCCCCTCCGCAGCCTCTTAGTGGCCAAGGACCCAGATGGGACAAGAGGACCTGCAGAGCTCTCAGAGGCAGGCAGTATGGGGGAGCAGCAGGGCCCAGGAGATCAGAGCAGGACGCAGCCAGGGCCACAAGATCCATTAGTTCTCTGTTTATAGACTATCGTTCTGGGGACATAGTGTGGCAGCCGGCCAGGGCCAGCAAGGCTCTGGGCAGGCGGCCCCAAGGGGCTGTACCATGGCTGCCCGACACCAGGCCCGCCAATAAGTTAAGTCCATTAGGCCGGGAGGGAAAGGGGGGGAGGGGGACGGACACTGTACAAAGTCAAGTGCTGGGGGCTGGGGCCTCAATACTGTCAGGGCCAAGGGGGGGCCTGTAAACATGGACAAGTGGCCCTGCCCCCCCCCCCAAGTGGTCTGTGACACTGGCAGTGCCAGGTGAGGGAGGGCAGGGGGAGGGGTCGTCAGGCGTCCGACAGACAGCTCTGGATCCGATCGACCCACTGCTGGGCTGAGGGCACATCCTGGGCGCAGAAGTTGTAAACGCGGCGTGTCGTCTTCACCTGTGAAAGGGAAGGTGGCTCAGGACCCCGCGGCCCCGTAGAGCCTGTGCCTGTGCCCAAGACCCCCACCCCCCATGCTCACATCAAAGAAGGCCTTCTCATCCACGGTCTTGGGGGCCCCCATGGTGGGTGTGCCGGGAGCCACAGACTCCACCTCAGCCAGGTCGATGGTGCCCTTGCATTCCGTGTCCACCCGGTGGTCGTAGTAACGCAGCTGCATTGGGGCAGGGCGGAGTGTGTCAGGCATGGCTGAGCACGCCCCCCACCCCAGGACCCCTGTAGGCTACTCACCTGATGCTTGGTCTTGTCTAGCACAAACCAGCGGGCCTTCCAAGGCTTCATGAAGGCCCCCTTCTTGAATAGGGTGCCCTCATAAGACCTGCACAAGATGTTCTTAATGGGGGTTCCTCAATCAAGGCGGAAGCTCGGGCCCTGGTAGGGCTCCCAGCCATGGCCCGCCCGCCCGCCCACCTACCTGTTCTCGCTCTCGGCAGTCTGGAACTGGCTGTAGAGGGTGCTGGTGCTGCGGCGGGCTGCCTGGCGGGAGCCGGACGTTGTAGACCCGCTGCTCTGGTCGCTGTCCAGGCTGAGGCTCAGTGTGGAGCCCACGGGTCCCTCCTGCAGGTACACGCCCAGCGAGCGGCGGTGCTGCGGCACACTGGACACCAGCAGGGAGCCAGGGGGGCCCTGAGAGAGGGGCTCAGCGTCAGGGCTCAGGGGCTCACCTAGGGGCAGTGTGGCTACCTGCTTTCTTCCCGATGCTCCCATGCGTGCCCCTCCCATGCTTACACGCCCATCTGGACGTCCTTCGAGACGGTGGGCGGCCTTCACTCGATCCCAGGTATCTTTCCAGCGCTCAGGAGGTCGGCCCAGCTCAGTCTCCAGCCGCTGTAGCTCCTGGAGACAGAAGACGGCGCTGAGGACAGGAAGTGCCCTCGAGCAGGACATTGCACTCACAGGGCTGGGCCAGGGCTGAGATCCTACTCAGCAGGGACAGGAAGAGGTCAGCTGGGGATGGAGGCGTGGAGGCGTTCTTAGTGGTGAAAAACAACACCCGTCCTTGACGCTGGCTGAACATGCACATGCACGCTGCTCATTGAGCGTTTCCCTTGGGAAGGTTCTTCCAGACATGGGCACACACACACCAGAGCGATGGTCCATCAAGAACAGCTAGCAGCAGAGGGCAGCAAGGGGTTTGATGATGGGGACCCCACACGGTCTGGTTGTCAGGTGACTGACCATCACTGACTTCAAAACAGCTTTGATCAATATCGTTAGGAATTAAAAAGCAAAACAAGACTTTGGAGAAAGTTCTGGAAGATATTAAAGGGTACCAAATGGAAATTCAGGAGTTGAAAAATACAACCACAAATTGAACTCACTGGATGGAGTATATCAGACACAGCTGAAAGAGAAAAAAAAGCCAGACTAGAACCTTAAAAAGAAAGGGTGGAAAACACAGGAAAGAACTAAATAAAATGGAGACATGAAGGGAACGGGTGGCTTGAGTCCACAAGAAAAGTGTCATGGGGGAGAATGGGCAAGAGAAGTAGTTAGAGAAAATTGCTGGAAACTTGCCAAAATTTGTACAAGAAATCAAAATACCCAAGAAATACTACACACCCCAAACAGGGTTGATTAAACACACACAGGACAGTACAGTAAATCTGCTGATAAAGACAGAAAATCCCCAAACCAGCCAGAAGAGTGAAGACATGCTACTTTAAAAGTACAGTCATAAAACAGCTGACATGGGCTAACTTCCGCTTCCAGCCGTGTCCTTATCTTCTCCCTGAACAACCCTCCCATCATACACAACATCATGAAATGGAGCAAAAACAGGACGTTTTCAGAAGTTGGAGCGCCATGTGCAGTGCTGAGGTCTCTGGTCAAGGTGCAGGGAGACAGGACTAAGCTCAGCACCGAGTCTTGCTGAGCTGAGGGGAAGCTGTGAGCAAAACTAACTGGAGGTTACACTCAGTGAAGACACACACACAAATTCCACTGTAGCAGGATTAGAAACAGGCTCTGAACTCAACTAAAGAGAGAGAGTTCGAATGCACACTGTAACAACATGAACGCACCTTGAAAACACTGAGCGCAGTAAGCCAGTCACAAAGGACAAATACGGTATGCTCTTACTTACCTGAGATGAGCAAAGAAACAGAAAATGAACAATAGTAGTTCATCAGGGTTGGGAGGGAGGTGGTCATGGAGCTTTTGCTTAGGGGATGCTATTGCCTTTATGTTACCGGTGGTGGGCTAACTTACAAAAGGATGGTAACAGCTGCACACTATGAACAATACAGTCAGCATCAGTGGCTTTTACATATAAAAATGGCTGAATCGGCCATGTTTTTGTAAATAGTCACCACACACACACAAATCTTGAGAGGAAGTTGACCCACTAGTTCATCAATTAACTGCCTGCAAGAAGAAAAACCAAAAACACTCTTCAAAAAAAAAACCCAGCTTATAAAAAAAGTCATTAGGTAAGAGTAATAAATAGCAGGGTAGTAGAAAAAGTTTGAAAAATAAACATTTGGAAATCAAACCAGTGTTGGAATGAGCAAATAAGAAATTCAAAGCAGAAAGGAAACCAGCGGCGCCACCAGTAAAAACGCTGCAAAATGACTGCAATCCACTCATACCTACTAATAATTACACTGGGAGTTGAGTGAAATACACCAGTCAAGAGACAGAACAGCAGACTTGTGTTGCTGTTAGATGTCCATCAAGTCAGTACCAACTCAGCAATCCTATGCACAACAGAACTAAACACTGCCTGATCCTGGGCGAATCTCACAATCATTGCTATGTTTGAACCTATTGATGCTGCCACTGTGCCAATCCATCTCGTTGGAGGGTCTTCCTCTTTTTCTCAGATCCTCCATTTTACCAAACATGATACCCTTCTCCAGTGACTGGTCCCTCCTGACAATATGTCCAAAGTATGAGAGACGAAATCTGGTCATCTGGCTGCACTTCTTCCAACACAGATTTGTTTTGGCAGTCCATGGTACTTTCAATATTCTCCAGCACCATAATTTAGATCTTCTACGGTCTTCCTTATTCACTGTCCAACTTTCGCACGCATTATGAGGTTACTGAAAATACCATGGAAATAACCATGGCTTGCGTCAGGTACACCTCAGTCCTCAAACTGCCATCTTTGCTTTAAAGAGGTCTTGTGCAGCAGATTTGCCCAATGCAGTACATCATTTGATTTCTTCACTACTGCTTCCTTCAGTGTTGATGGTTGATTTCAGCAAAATAAAATCATTAACAATTTCAATCTTTTCTCTACTTATATGGATGTTATTTATTGTTACAGTGATGAGGACTTTTTTCTTTATATTGAGGTGCAACCCAATATACCAAAGGCTGTGGACATTTAATCTTCATCAATAAGTACTTTAAGTCCTCTTGGCTTTCAGCAAGCGAGGTTGTGTCATATACATATTGCAGGTTGTGAATGAGTCTCGATGCCATGTTCTCTGATTATTTGTTCAGCATACAGACTGAATAAGTATGGTGAAAGAACACAACCCTGGTGTGCACCTTTCTTAATTTTAAACCATTTGGTGTTCCCTTGTTCTGTTAGAACAACTGCCCTTTGGTCTATGTACAGGTTCTTTATGAGCACAATTAAGTGTTCAGGAATACTTACACTTCACAATGTTGTTCATAGTTTGTCATGATCCACACAATCAAAAGCCTTTGCATAGTCAATAAAGCACACGTAAGCATCGTTCTGGTATTCTCTGCTTTCAGTCAAGCATCTGACATCAGCAATGATATCCCTCATCCCACGTCTTCTTCTGAAACCGGCTTGAACTTCTGAAAGTTCTCTATCAATGTAAGGTTGCGGTCATTTCAATATTTAGTAAGACTACTCACATGGGATATTGATGATATTGGCCAATGGTTTCCGCATTCCATTGGGTCTCCTCTCTTTTGAATGGGCACAAATACATCCATTCAGTTGGCCATTTTTTTCTTCAGTTCTTTCAGCTTGAGAAATATTGAGCGTGTCCTTCCCTTTTGGTTTTGTAACTACAGGTCTTTACATATTTCATTATGATACTTACCATTGGCTTCCCCAGCTACCTTTTGAAATGTTCTGTTCAGCTCTTTTACATCATTTCTTTGAGTTGCTTTAGCTTCTCTTAGTTTAAGAGCAAGTTTCGGTCTCTTCTGACATCTACTTTAGTCTTTTCTTTTTTTCCTGTTTTTTTTGTTTGTTTGTTTGTTTGTTGACCTGTTGCTTTCTTCAGTATGATATTCTTCATCTCTTCCTGCAACTCTTTTGGTCTTCGGTCATTAGTGTCTAATGTATCAAATCTATTCTTGAAATGATCTCTAAATTCACAGGTGGGATATACTCAATATTTTGGTTCTCGTGGAGTTGTTTTAATCTTCCCCAGTTGTAGCGTGAACTTGCATATATGAGTTATCGATGATGTGTTTCATCTGCCCCTGGTCTTGTTTGGCTGATGAAACACTCATTCTCCATCATCTCTTCTCAAAGATGTAATCAATTTGGTTCTTATGTATTCCATCTGATGAGGTCCATCGTTGTTGGAAAAAGGCATTTGCAGTGAATAAGTCATAGGTCTTGCAAAATTAGATTGTGTGATTTCCAGCCTTGTTTCTATAACCAAGGACATATTTTCCAACTGTTGATCCTTCCTCTTGATTTCTAACTTTCACATTTCAATCACCTGTAATTATCAATACACCCTGATTGCATATTTAATCAATTTCAGACTGAAGAAGCTGGTAGAATTCCTCAATTTCATCATCACTGGCTTTAGTGGTTGGTACGTAAATTTGAATAACAGCGGTCTTAACTGGTCTTCCTTGGGGTCATCTAGATATTCTCCTGTCACAGACAGCATTATACTTCAAAACAGATCTTGAAATGTTCTTTTTGATGATGAATGTGACACAATTCCTCTTAAGTTTGTCATTCTCAGCATAGTAAACCATGTGATTGTCAGATTCAAAATGGTCAATACCAGTCCATTTCGGTTCACTAATGCTTAAGATATTGATCTTTATGCATTCCATTTCATTTCTGACAACTTCCAATTTTTCTAGATTCATATTCTACACATTGCACGTTCCAATTATTATTGCTGGATGTTTACATCTGTATCTCATTTTGAGTTGTGTCACATCGTAAACAGAAGTCCCAAAATCTTTACTTCTTGTGCATCACTAGTCAACTCTGCTTTGAGGAGGCAGCTCTTTCTCAGAGTGAATTCCAACCTGAGGGGTTCATCTCCTAGCACTATACCTGACAGTATTCCGGTGCTGATAGTGTTCCACTGCTATTTATACGGTTTTCAATGGCTAAACATTCAGAAGTAGTCCACTTAATAAACATTAGAGCAGAAATAAAATAGAAAATAGAAAACAATAGCATTAACACAAGAAGTTGGTTCTTTGAAAGGAATAATAAAATTGACAAAACACTGAAATGTAACAAATGAAAAGAAGGTGCCAATAGTAAGTACGAAATTATACAGGTGTTGTCACCACTAATGGATGTCCCAACCAAAAGGATAATAACAATAAAGAATTGTATATTAAAATCTAGAAAGGGACACATTTCTGGAAACACAGAACCTACTTAACAGACAGAAGCAGAAATCTTGAATAGACCCATAACACAACACCAAATTGATCAGGTCATTAAAGTACTCCCAACAAAATGAGGTACGGGTCCAGATGGCTTTATTGGTGAATTCTACCAAATATTCAGAGAAGTTGTTGTTAGGTGCCATCGAGTCGGTACCGACTCCTAGCGACCCTATGCACAGCAGAACTAAACACTGCCCGATCCTGGGCCCACCTCACTATCGTTCCCACACTTGAGCCCACTGATGCTG